CAAGGCTGGGGTTTCTGTGGAGACCAGCAATGGCAGGGTATATGGCCGGGCACAGAGCTGCTCCAAAGCCCGGCAGGGCAGGGATGTGCAGGCTGCTGATCATGGCTTTGCCCCAGCTCCGGATCACATTGTCACCGCAGCGAGATCCCAGCCTGGCCCTGGAACAGCTCCGTGCCCTGCTACGTGCCCCGACAGCAGGGGCAATGCTAGGGGAGGGTTTGGGGGGACACAGCCATGCCAAAACTCCCCATAGGCCCCTGTAGCCACCCCTCCCAGCAGCACTACTGCCACCCGGCCCATATAGGGAGTGGCAGCTGAGCCTGCCCCACTCCTGCCCCCAGCACAGCCCTCCCTCAACATCCCCCCACCCCATCAGGAAGAGGCTGGTGCCACTGCTGCCTGTCAACATTGCTGGGGCTGGTCTCCACGGAAACACTGACCCCACACTATCACAGCCTGGCTGCTGCTGGGGTCTCTATGGAACCCAGCCCCAGCCACACAGGCAGGGGCTGTTGGGAAATGGAGTCCACTGCTCAGTGGATCTGGCCCAGAGGCCAGACTTGGCCCGTTCCCAATATAGATATTTACAGGTTAAAAAATGAAGGTTCCTTTAAATTACTTTGTCGCAGAGCACGCAGATGCCCTGCTCCTTAGGGCAGAAACAGCTAGGAAGAGAGCCCTAGCAGCAAGTAAGGAGCCCAGCTGCTAGTTACCAGGGCAGCCAGAGTAGTAATAAGGAGGCACAGATGCTGGTTGCTAGGGCAACTGCTGTGGGTCAGCTGACTGGAAGGGGGTAGGGCCTGACCTATATATAAACCCAGGCTAAGGCCAGGGAGCCAGCAGCCATAGGGGTGGGAACAGTGCTGGAGTGAGAAAAGGAAGAGGCCAGGATGCACAGGCAGTTGTTACAGGTGAGAGGGAGAAACCCTGTGACAGGCCTGAATGTGGTTCTAGCCAGATGGCTTGAATTTATGCTGCAGCCAAGGGGACTGAGTTTGTGTTGATGGTTTACTGTTTACAACTGGAGGACTGGGTGAGGCTCTTAGGGGTTGGAAGAGACCTCATAGGGGCTCCACAGTAGCGGGGGGACCCCAGTGCCAGAGAAGGTGCAGCATTCAGGGGTGCACCGACCCCAGCCCCGAGAAGGGGAGCGGAGAATTGGAGGCCAGGTAAGGCTGAGGCCGCCTGAGCCCTGCGGGAGTTCGAGACCCTGAGGAGGAGAGTTGGGGCCAGGCATGGCTACAGCTACCTAAGCCCCAAGGCTGCGGTAACCCCAGAGCAAAGGGGGCAGCGCAAGGGGGCCCCCAGAGCAAAGAGGGCAGTGCAAGGGGGCTGCGGAAAGCCAGAGCACCTGTGGGGCACAGTTGTGAGGCAAGGGTCACGAACAGTCCAAGTGCCAGAGAGGACGCAGAGAGCCAGACAGACCAAACAACGTCTGGGATATTCAGCGAGGCTTGCGGCGTGGTACAGGAGTGGGTGTAGCCACGCACAGCCCACAAGGCTGGGGTGCACCGAGTCACACAGTACAGAACAGGGGCCAGGTTGCAACAGAGCACTGTGTCCAAGGGGACGAAAGGCAGCCTCCCTTTTATATATATAAAAAAAAAAAAAAAA